TACATATATTTAATTTATGAAACCATGAGGAATCATTTCAATTCATTTCTACACGTAGGAGGTTATCGGGTCTGTAATTTTTTGTTTCTTGAATCTATCACTGGTTGTTTTCAATTCATCAATATTCATGAGCTTCCTTACTATTCTATGCTAGAACGTGGTAATAGCCAGGTGTGCAATATTCACTTCCATCGCATGCCTTTTCCATTTCATTCAGTGTAAAATTTAACAGGGACAAGACTGATCTGTGACTAAAAAGAAAAGAGCTGATAATTTTACCTCCATGTGGCATACAATGACCTGCAGGAGCTTTTCTCAATATCAGTGACTTGATGATTATGTCATGATCCTGCCCCGTCCGCTTCCGGGATCCAGCTTTTATTTTGATACCACTTCCTGTCACCAGCTCACCCACAACCCCGGTAACTTCAGCTCATCATGCACATTAGTTTCACCTGCCACTAATCACCCACACCTGTTCACCACAGCATATAGCAGCTCCTCACACTGTAAGGAGCTGTCTGATTGTTCTATGCCTTGTCTAGACTCTCCAGTGTTTTCCTCTGACTGCTTTCCTGGTACCGGACCCTTGCCTGCTCCCTTTTGTCTGACGGCCAACCTGAGATCCGACACCTTGCCTGTTCAACCAACCTGTAATTCTGCCTTGCCTTCCCTGCTGCCCTGCCAGAGACTTCGACCTTGGATCGTACTACGTACCACTCTTCTGCCTGATCCCCCAAGACTGTGTGTGTTTCTGCTGAAATCACAAAAGGACATTAAAGTCTGTTCTACTGCCTCAGCTGACTGGCTCTTTAATTGGGTTCACTCCTCTATCTTTACGGGAGCGTCACTCACCTCCCTGACAGATTAGGCTATTTCTCAAGTCTCCAGCTTTCTAGATATCAACACTCATTGTTGAGCAGTGTCATGTTTTGGCACCAGCTCAACTAGAGCTTCAAAGCACTTTGAATCCCCTCTACCGTGTCCCAGTGTCAGTGTGTTATTTCCCTTATGTTTTCAACTGCTCAGTAGTAAATGGTAAATAAACAGGATCGATATAGAAGGTTTTCATTAAATACCTGTAATTGATGTGTGCTCTCATAGCTCACTTATACAATTAAAGTGTGACTTCATTGTTTGTACTGTATGTGCAATCAACAGCATCTGATACAGGAGAAGTGGAGGCAGAGCCAGCCCTTTGTGTTAGTGAAGATGAGCTCTATCAACACTGGTGCAGTTCCCAGTAGTCACCAGGTTGGTAAAGGTCGGGGATTGCCTACCCATTACACCTGACTCATGTTTGCTCATTTGTCCTGTATATTAAATAAAGCCCCATAGGACAACATTTGGGTACATTTTACATAATTATGGAAATTGCCAAATTTATGGAAATATTCATGCATCTTATCAGAATTGCACAAATGCAACTCCAATCCATGCCCTGACTTCTGCCACTAGGTTGCCTGCTTAACACTCTCTGGTCTGCAGAAACCTTGTTATCACTGTCTATATTCAGCTGTTTTCCCCTCTGGCTCCCAGTTTCTTTCAGCCAGAGTCACTCACATTTTCCTTGTAGGCTTACAACTCGTTTTTCTGTTATTTGCACTGTGTGTGTGTGTGTGCCTTTGTATTACTTACATCATGTGGACCGAAACGTGTTAACACACTCAATCTGTGGGGACTTGGCCATCCTTGTGTGGACCAGAAGCTAGTCCCCACAAAGAAATCCCTGAATTTTAGGGTGGCAACATGGTTTAGGGTTAGGATGATGTTAGGGTCAGGGTTAGGTGTTAGACAAGTAGTAGTTATAGTTAAAGTTAGGATAAGTCTACAGGAAATGAATGTAAGTCAATGTAAAGTACCCACAAGGAATGAAAACACTGTGGTTCTCCCACATTTGATGATCTCATATATGGCCCTGCAGGCCTCCCTACATTTAAGAGTGATGAATTAGTTTAAGGTTAGTCATATTATTTCTTACTCCCTTACTTACACATGTTGTGTTAGACAGCATGGCTCTGATGCTCAGCATCATCATTAAACAAGGCAATGAATTCTGTCACCTTCATGTCTCACTTGGTCATTATTGTCACTGAACTGTCAGTGTATGGTCAGTAAGTGAGTTCAGCTTTCAAATACCACAGAGAATTCAGGGAGATCTGTGCAAACTTGTCAACACAGAAATTGATTTGAGTGTTACACTGGCCCCAAAACTATTGCATACATTGTAATTTTTGTCAATCCCACAGCCGTAGAGTATTATTGCTACATATTACTGTAAGTATGTTTTTGGTGAAATAAGGCTCACACTTGTAGACCATTTTGTCAGTCATGGCCTTACAATGGCCGAGGCTGGTCGAATGTTGGAAGAACAACCCCTCTGTCTAGGGCAGGAGTGTCCACACTTTTTTCAAAGAGGGCTAGATTTGATACTGTGAGAATGCCTGAGCGCCAACCATTCTGCCTGACATTCTTTGAACCATTAAAGTTAAATGCAAATGCACTGTTTTATTCCATCCATTTTTTTCCATTTTCTTCCGCTTATCCGGGGCCGGGTCGCGGGGGCAGCAGTCTAAGCAAAGATGCCCAGACCTCCCTCTCTCCAGACACTTCCTCCAGCTCCTCTGGGG